AGATACCAAAAAAAAAAAAAAAAAATCGGAACAAAGCAAAACTGACAAAATGTGTTGCTGATTGCGAACCTCACTGCATCTCTATCCTAGCTGCCATCAAGCCCCGCCTTGGGAACTAAAGTTTTATATCACATATTGTATTACGAATTCAGTTGATGTCTGCAATAGAATGGCCAAATCAAGAATCATTGTGCAGCATATTAGTTGGAAACATGGACATAAGTATAGCTAAAATAGTTGAAAGGAGGTGAATGGGATAGGGTCTGCTACTTTTAACTGTAGGCTTCTCAGTACTCCTTACTTCTGGTATTGTTTAATACTTAAACGGTGTTTATATTTCTTTGACACAAGCGAAAATAGATGATTCCCCCAGTCAGAACTACAGATACTGCATAGAAATGCAGAACACTTTAGCTAGTTAATTTGTATCTCTGTATTATTTAATCTTTTAAAAGAAAATATAGAGAATTTTTAATTTCCCTAATTGAAGAGAGAGATTCCATATTGAGGTCTGGGAGTTCTCTCTTTGAGTGATCGGGTCTTACTGTGTATGATCAATGCAGCAAAAGATACCCTGTGGATTACAAGTAATGATTTTTCTTTTGCAGTTTTCCTGGAACCTGAAACATTGGATCTTTTCTTCAATTTGTATCATTCATTTCCACCACTACTGTCTCAGTTAGTAAGTAAACATTATTCAGTACTTCATTAAAAGTACCTGTATCATTGAAGTAAGAAGTAGCATATTCTTATTAAAAAAAAAACCAATTATATACATACTTGATTGTTTTCCCATGTTTAGTGATCATCTCTCACAAAAATATCTTAAAATTTCAATTTATTAAAAATTCTTAAATCTTATTTCCTGGTACATATATTGTTTAAACTCTTTTTTCGGATTATATTTATAGTAAATAATCCATTCTATTTGACAGCCGAGCCCAAAACCAACAACTTGTGATGTAGCCCGTTCCCAGAGCCAGAAAAACCTACCAGTCTCTAAGTATATCTTCCTTCCTACTGAGTCTGCATCCTTCCTCTGGGCCTCAGTCTAGTGTCTACCATCCACCTGCACCTTCCCTTCCCTTTCTATGTAATTCTTGCTTCAACCAACCTTATTCTAGATCTTAAACTTGACAGACAGCCCCCACCAGATCTTTCTGAATGAGAAGTACCACGGATCTGCTCATTTGACTGTGTGCTCATCACATTATGATTCTGTAAGAACAGAGCAGCTCATTTTCTTTTTGAATCAAAATCATGTTCAAAAAGTACTTGGAATTATGGTTATATAGAACTTTGAGACCATAGGACTTAGCTTTTTGGAATCTAAAATAAAGAGCACACAACATTTTAAAAATAAAAATTGTCAGTTTAATACCTAGGCACACAAATTGTTGTTGTTGTTGAGTGCCATAGAGTCAGGTTCCGACCCATAAAAATCCTGTGTAGGGTTTCTGAGGAACAGCTGTTGAGGTTGAACTGCCAGCCTTGCGGTTCAAGTGGACTTTGCAGTCTAGTGCATTAACCAACAACACCACACCAGGACTCCTACACAAGTTAGGAAACTATAATATTTCTATTGAAAGTTCCTGATTTAAGGTACACATCAGTGTATGTGTTTAGATATGCTGTCAGCTAGAATGGTGGAGCATCTTCACAGAAATACCCCTTTTTAAAAAAAACAAAACAAAAACCATCTCCTTTTGAATCTAAGATTTTAAGTAGATGGTTTCCAAACTGTGTTTCATAAGGGTGCGTATGTTCCAGGTTGCACAGTAGAGTGTTAATCTGTCTTTTAACATGTACAGTCTGGATTTTAGTTGTTTAAAAACTACAGTTTCATGTATAGTTTTATTTCTGGATGAAACAAAAAAGATACCAATGCTAAAAATATAAAGTGTGAAACACCTACTTTTAGAGAAAGTGGCATTTATTGGGTAGGCCCTATTGTTTGGTGCTTATTTAATCTTCAGAATGGCCCTGCAAGGTAAGTATTCTTATCCTCACTATAAAGAAGAGGAAACAAACCCAGAATGGCTCAGTGCAAAATAAATATTGGAGCTGAGATTCAAATCCAAGTCTTTTTGGCCCAGTCCTATCTATTTTTAATAAACTTGGGGTTTTCCATCCTAGAGTCCTCGTGGTGCTGTAGGATGAGTAATGAACTGGTCACCATTATGGTTGGCAATTTAAACCCATCAGCCACACCTTGGAAACCCTACTTAGAGTCATTATGAGTTGGAACCAAATCAGTGGTACTTAACAACAACAAGGGGTTCCCAAAACTTCTGCACATCAGAATTGCTTATCACAGGAATTGAGTTGATTCCAACTGATAGTGGCAAACTGGAGAAAATATGGAAAGGGCATGCTCTGATTTTTGTCCCTATTTTCCTACTTGCCAAGAGAGCCAAACATTTTTCATGAGTGAAACTAAATGTCTAAATATTGAGAGCTCATAGTAATTTAAAAAAAAAAAAAAAAAAGGTGGACAAATAAACACGTGGACCCAATACGGTGCCAATTTGGACAGAAAGTTGCTAATTTGTAGGTTTCTCATTCAGTCAGTGATCAGTGATCAGACCCTCCCACTTCAATAAGTACCAGCAGCTGAATTAAGAACCCAAGTACAGAGCTGATCTGGGCAAAGATTGGGAAGGCAATTGAGAAACTCTAGGAATTTTTAGGATAATAAAATCCTTTTAACAGGAGTCCTGATGTGGTGCTGTGGGTTAATATGCCAGACTGCAAAGTTGTTTGAACTGCAAGATTGGTGGTTCAAATTCACCAGCTGCTCCTTGGAAACCCTGTACAGGGTCGCTATGGGTACGTGCCGACTTGTCGGCACTTAACAACAACACCAATCCTTTTAACAGCATTTTCTAAATTGTGCCTTATGATGTGAGTAAACTATTCCACCGAATAAATTTGGGACAGGCTGGATTAAGTAAAGTTCCAGGATTCACCTCCCTACCCCAAGCAGGATATCACAGTGCATTATGTGCAGTGTGTAACCAACATTCCACCACAAAATTGTGATTTCTTTTTGGTAGAATACCTTGTTCAATTGTTCTCAAACAGAGCTAGGCATCAGGATCAATTGGAAAGCCTTTTGAAATTACATTTGTCCTGGTACTGCTGTGGCAGATTTGATACATGAAAAAACATTAGAAATGGAGTACATACAAATAGGAATTTTATTGGTGGGGTCAAACAGTTGTTGGTGGTGATTGAGAATATTTAGCTTTCATTATTTTTGGATTTTAAAATGTTTGTAGATTGGTGGATAGGGGGCACAATGGCACTAGTAAGGCATGCTCACCATGGAGTGGTAGATCACTGAAGCTCAAAAGGGCCACATTTACCTAAGGACAAAGTTGAGAAGCAATGGGAAGGTGGGTGGAATGGAAATAGAAACTTCATGGAGGAAGTGCATAACTATTGTTGCATGGAAGGGATTGCAATCATTGAGATGAAACAAAGTGTTTGATTTGTTGAATGTAAAAGTGATGATCTTGGCTGTAAATGTTCACTCAACTCAGAATAAAACGTGAAAAAATAATTTTAAACAATTTTAATGTTTGATGCTTTTAAAACTGAAATAATTTTGTTGTTATTTTTAGGCGCTTTCATGTTTAGTTCAGTTTGCTTCTACAAGAAGGTCCTTATTTAGCAGTCCTGAACGAGCCAAGTATCTTGGTAATTTAATTAAGGGAGTAAAAAGGATACTTGAAAACCCTCAGGTATTTATGAAGTAATTTAATTAATACGCAGCATATAGAAATACAGTTTTTCTTGTCCAGTTGTGCATAAACTCAGTATGAATATACTTTGATTCATCAAGAAAATAAAAAGTATCATATTCATCTACTTAGGTCTCATTTGTAGCAGTTTTGGAGTAGTTTTTAGAAAATGGATGTTTACCTGACAGACTTATGTGTTCCCTCTCTTTTTACTTTTTCAGTTCTTTTAAATGAGTATACATAGAGTTGATAAATCTTATTGCTTCCTTGCCTTTTACCATTGTTCTGAATTTCTTTGCTTGCACTAAAGTGATTAATTAACTTATAGTCACCTTCAGAACTACAAAACTAGAAAAATACAAATCGGAATGTGAATATTGGAAGAAGTGGCTTTAAATTATGAAATAATGTCTTTTTTGCCCTCTTGTGGACAAATAAGAATTTGTAGATTTAAAAATGTACTCTCTACATTAAGAACAGAGCCTTCTATGGTAATAATTCATCTCAAAGAATTGCAAAGCAGTTTCGGGTGCTTAGATCAAAAATTTTCTATCACTTTCTGCTTATTTTTGGTTTAAAATATCTATAATTACAGTACAGATTGTCAAGGTTAAATGATGATTAAGGAAGTTTATCTAAGTCAATACATTGTTAATAGCCTTTGGGGAGACATTTAATAGCTTTTACAAAAAGAAAATGTGCTTGTTCTAAAAAAGAGTTGGGTATATTGTAAGTTATTTTGTGGAGTATTTAATGTGGTGTGCATTTTAACTTTTCGTTGTTAGCATAGATGTGAACTATACCTGTTTTGGGATAACTGGGATTTTACCAATGTACTTTAAAATGTTTAGTTGTTTAATTCACTGTCATCAACCAATTCAAGGAGATAATATGAAGTGCCACATAATTGTCTTAATGATTTTGCAACATTTTCATGTTAATATTTAGTGATAAAGTTAGTTTGGCTATTGTATTAATTACTTTAGCTTTGTAAACATGTATCAGAAGACCTATGAATGTAAAATACCTTTCTGCAATTTGCCTTTTATAATCAGGTACTATTTTATATGCTCTCATGGATTTCATATGAATGATATTTCTTAGAAATCCTGTCAGAGTAATTCAGATAGTTTTTGAATTCTGCTTCATTCCAGATACAGTGCTTATTGCAAAGTGCTCAAAATAATAACACTTGCTGTGTTTTCTAGGAGCTCACAAACAACTAGGAATTCCTTTCTTGATGTTTCTTTAACCTAAGATCTTTCTTTTTTCCAGAAGTTACCTCTATGTCTTAGAGATTCTGTTTTTAAACTTTGTGTTCTCTGTCGTTTGAATGACTTTTTACTTAGAGCTGGGGAATTTACTTAGAGCTAAGGGCACAGTGACTATAGACTCCGAACAAATATTTGCTGAATTAAAATAAATTTCTATTTGTGTGTATATGCATGCACACTACTTGTTTTTGTTGTTAAGTACCGTGGAGTCAGTTCCGACTCACAGTGACCCTGCACAGGGTTGCTGAGGCTGTAAATCTTTATGGGAACAGAACGCCTCATCTTTCTCCCCTGGAACCGATGGTAGTTTCGAACTGCTGACCTTGCGGTTCACAGCCCTATTCGTAACCACTACGCTACCAGAGATCCTTACACACTTCTTAAGTCTAGTCAATACTATTCTTTCCCAAGGTTTCAAGTGCACATTTGTATTTCTCATCTTACAAGTCATCTGTTGACTTCTTTTTAAACTATAATGCACACATTTTAAAAAACACTTATGCACATGTTTTTTGGTGTAAAACATCCCCAAACATTATAATTCAGTCATTATGGTGCAGTTTCCTTAAAAGCCCCTATTACTAATCCTTGACGACAACATTAAATCAGGCAGGCATCCCTCCCTTCCCCCTTTTATTCCCGTTATCTAGCCAGTGGCACAAATTACTATAAGTACCTAAGAAAACGAAAAGATTTCATGAAACACACTGAGAATTTTCTTCATGGTATAATAATAGGTTGGTAGCTTGGTATGCTACTAAGTATGTTTTAAAGTCTTTCTTTTTGTATCACTTAGGGTTTGTCTGATTCAGGTAATTATCATGAATTTTGTCGATTTTTGGCTCGTTTGAAGACAAATTATCAGCTGGGAGAATTAGTTATGGTGAAGGAGTATCCTGAAGTTATCAGATTGATAGCTGATTTTACAATTGCTAGTCTCCAGGTAAGTAAAAATATGCTGTTATTATTCTTAAGCATCATCAAGTTGGTTCCAACTCATAGTGACCCTGTATAGGGTTTGCAAAGAGAAACTGGAGGGTTTGAACTGTCGACCTCATAGTTAGCAGTCCATTGGTAATCCTAAAGCACCACACTGGGAGTTGATAATAAACTAGACATTTTTGAGACAATTTCTTGGTGGTGTTTGTTGGTGGGAGGTGTTTTTTGTTGTTGTCTTTAAATGTCTGTTAATTTTTGGGTACTTGGCAAAAGTTGTCACTGAAAAATTTTAGGTTAGAAAGTTCACTGCAGTATTTATCATAAAAAATACTTAAGAACCAGTAAAATCATCATTGAAGAGTTACTAAGAAACTGTAATACATCTATGTGAAGAAATAGAAGAATTTTAAGATTGTGTAAGAGGGCTTCAAAAAGTTCATGGAAAATTTCCATTATCTTTCAATTCCATTTTCCCACAAACTTTTTGAAGTCCCTGCGTATTTGTTGTTGTTATTAAGTGCGATTGAGTCAGTTCCGACATACAGTGACCCTGTATAGGGTTTCCAAGGAGTGCCTGGTGAATTTGAACCGCTGACCTTGTGGTTCAAATGGTGTGGTTCCAACCAACCTTGTGGTCCATTGCTTATCCTACAGTGACATACCAGGAATTATTTTATGAGCCTGAAGGACAGGTAGTAAAACCGTATTTTCTTCACTATGTTAACTCTGAAAAATGTGTGCGTAAAGAAGATAATTGCAAGGAAATACACTAACATTTTCACAGCGATAATTTCTGAGTGGAGGAACAATGAGAGACTGTTTCTTTCTTTCTTTTTTTGCATGTACAAAATGTGCTATGTTAAGTGTTCATTACTTGTATAAACTAAAGGACAGTTAATTTTTAAATGCATGTATAATCATACCTCTGTAGTTCTTATTCTAGGAAGACACAATGTCATGTTCAGTAACTTTTGTTTTGTTTCTTTGCAGCACTGGGAATTTGCCCCCAACAGTGTTCATTATTTATTAACTCTGTGGCAAAGAATGGTAGCATCAGTTCCTTTTGTGAAATCGACTGAACCCCATCTATTAGATACTTACGCACCAGAAATCACAAAGGCCTTTATCACTTCTCGGTTGGAATCTGTTGCCATAGTTGTAAGGTACTGAAAACGAAATTTTATGTTTTTATTTCATCTTTTGCATTTTATAAGTTTTTTTAAATTGAGGTATAATTTACTTAACTGTAAAATTCACCCCTAGTATACAGTTCTGTGAGTTGTCTTGACAAGGGTCTCTCATTGTACAAATAACATTACAATCAAGATATAAAATAGTCCTGTCAGCTCAAAAAAGTTCTTTTTGAATTTCTCTCCTTTTCAGCTCTTGATCAATTACTGGTAAGTTTTTGTCTCTATAGTTTTTAGCTGTTCAGGAATAGCATATAAATGAAATCATATGACGTAGCCATTTCGTCTGGTTTGTCTTCATTTATTATTTATTTGAAATTCCTGCCTGTATATCGCTATTTTCCCCCTTTTCATTGCTGAGTAGTATTCCATTGTATGAATACTTCATTGTTTGTTTATCCATGCATCTAATTGGTGGACATTTGGATTGCTTCAGTTTTTTGCACTTATGAATACACCTAGTGTAAACATCCCTGTATGGGTTTTTGTGTGAACCAAACCCAAAACAAAGCCACTACCATCAAATCGATTGTGACTCACACCAAACCTTTATAGGGTATTTGAAGCTGTAAATCTTTACAGTAGAAAGCCTCATCTTTCTCCCACAGAGTGACTAGTGGTTTTAACTGCCAACCTTACGGTTAGTAGTCCAGTGTTTATCCTACAATACCCTTTCATGTTGTATTAAGTGCTGTTGAATCGGTTCTGACTCAGAGTGACCATGTATTGGGTTTCTGAGTAGTGACTGTTGAGTCTGAACCACTGACTTTGAAGTTCAGATGATCTTTTGGTCCAGTGCTTATCCAACAGTGACACGGTAGGACTCCTTCCATGCTTACTGCAGCTTGTTATAGAATAAGCTTAAAAATCATATAATATGAATTCTTGATATTAGTTTCCCATTTCCAAAATGATTTTGGCTACTCAGGTTCCTTTGCTTTCCTATGAAAATTTTAGAACCAGCTTGTCAGTTTCTTTAAAAAAAAAAAAAAAATTATTTTGATGAATCTATTAATTTCAATAATTGACATTCTCAGTAGGGTTGATTCTGTCAACTCATGAACATCTTTTAATTTATTTAGACCATTTTAATGATTTTTTTCATCAATGTTTTATGGTTATCAGCATTCAGATCTTTTATACGTTTGTAATTGTTGCTGTTGTTAAGTGCCTTTGAGTCAGTCCTAACTCATAGCAACCCTGTATTGGGTTTTTGAGGAGTGGCTTGTGAGTTTGAATCTCTTATCTTGTGGTTTGCATTCCAGTGCTGATCCATCCTACAGTGCTGCACTAGGAGTCCATTTTATACATATTTGTTGTTTAGTGCCATTGAGTCAGTTCCGACTCATAGTGAACCTGTATAGAGTTTCTGAGGAGCGGCGGGTAAATTTGAACAGCTGGCCTTGCAGTTCAAGCCAACCCACAGCACCCTACCAGAAAGAACTTGGTAGAATTCTTCAATTTCAACATCACTGGCGTTTGTATTTTATGTTTCCTGATGCCTTTGTATAATACCATTTTTTAAAATTTCAGTTTCATTAAAAGTTTGTAGAAATACAATAAAATTGTTTGTTGAACTTGTTCTGTGACCTTGGTAAACTCATCTGTTAGTTCTAGTAGCTTTTTTGTGGATTCTTTGACGTATTCCATGTAGGTAATCATATTATCTTCGAATATACCAAAAAACCCATTGCCGTCGAATCTATTCCAACTTAAAATAACCCCATGGGGTAGGACTGCCCCCTAGGGTTTTGAAGACTGTAATCTTTATGAAGTCCTAGTGTGGTGCTGTGGGATAAAGCACTGGACCACAAGGTCAGTTTGAACCACAAGCTCACCAGCTGCTCCTCGGAAACCCTATACAGAGTTGCCATGAATGAGAACCGACTCGACAGCACTAAACAAGAACAATAATTTTTATGGAAGCCAATTACCATTACTTAGTCCCGAA